TATTTTAAATCATGCGTATCCTCTTGTTCTGTTTGAATGACAGCCTCTTGGTCCATGTACAGGTTCCTCATGAGCGCAATTAAGTATTCTGGAATTCCCATTCTTCTCAATGTTATCCATAATTTGTATGATCCACAGAGTTGAATGCCTTTGCAAAGTCAATAAAACACAGATAAACATCTTTCTGGTATTCCCAGCTTTCAGCTAGTATACATATGACATCAGCAATGATATCCCCTGTTCCATATCATCCTCTGAATCTGGCTTGAATTTATGGAAGTTCCTTGTCAATATACTGCTGCTACCATTTTTGAATTACTTTCAGCAAAATTTTACTTGCATGTGATGCACACACACACAAACTAAACTCACTGCGATCACGTTGATTCCAACTCATAGTGACCCTCTTTGGGTTTCTGAGGCAGTAAATCTTTACAGAAGTAGATTGCCCAGTCTTCCTTTCATGGAGTGGCTGGTGGGTTTGAACTGCCAACCTTCTGGTTAGCAGTCAAATCCCTTAGGCATAGTAATGATATAATGTTTGATAATTTCCACATTTTGTTTGGATTATGTTTCTTTGGAATGGACACAAATATCAATCTCTTCCATTATGGCCAGTTGCCAAAAGGAAAGGAAGGCCACATCTTCTGACTTCCTCTAACCCCACAAGAGGAAGACAGAATCACCATCAGTAGCCCAAGGCCTATCCTTGCCAGGCCAGACGTGCCACCTCCCTCCAGCCCTGACACCAACCCACCACCTCTCTGCTGGGTTCAATAATTTGCTGCAGTGACCACACAGAACTCACAGATGTTGGGGTTTATTAGGGAAGCACCAGGCTACAATTCAAGTTCAGGAAAAACATTCAATCTCTCTCAGCCCACCGTCTCTCAGCCAATGGTTTCTCTCAGTCATTTTCTCAGCAGTGCACATCTGTCTCCCAGCAGTGCGTGTCTCTCGGTGTCTCTTTCTCAGCAGCATGTGTCTCTCAGGAGCACGTTTTTCTCAGCAGCACGTCTTTCTCAGCCAGCAGTCAGAGATACCCCTTCTGCCTCTAGGAGTCCTCTTTTTGAGCCTGGCAGAGTGGCAAACTAACGAACCCCAACATCAGAATTCTATACACCTGAGAGAAAGTGAACTTCCCAGAAAATTACTTTGTGCTGCTCCCAACAGAAATACCCCAGGTGGATAACTTTAACAATCAAGAGCTACTCTGTTGTTCATGGCAAATTCCACCACAGAGTTTACAAAGATTTATGGCTAGAAGAGCTATACCAGGTAGTTTACTACACTGCACCAATGCCATAGTTAAGGTTGTATGTGAGCATGGCTAGACTATGAGTTTGCTTCTCTAGAGAACCCAGCCTAAGACAGCCAGGTAGTTGTCTTCCAGATTTTTTGCCATAAAAGAGTAAGTGCCCCCAGAGCTGCATCCATTTGTTGCAACATCTCAATGAGTATATTTGTCAATTCTTTCTGCAGCTTAGGCTTCTTCCTTTAGTACCATTGGTTCTATGCTACCTCCTGAAATAGTTGAACAATGACCAATTCTTGTTGGTACAGTGACTCTGTGTATCCACATCTTCTTTTGACGCTTCCTGCATCATTCAATATTTTGCCCATAGACTCCTTGAATACTACAACTTGAGGCTTGATTTTTTTCTTCAGTTTTTCAGCTTGAGAAATGTCAAGAGTGTTCTTTCATTTTAATTTTATAACTCCAGGTCTTTGCACATTTCATAATAATACTTTACTTTGTCTTTGAATGGCCCTTTGAATTCTGTTCAGCTCTTTTATTTCATTTCTTCCCTTCACTTTTGATACTCTCCACTCAAGAGCAAGTTTCACAGTCTCTTCTGATATCCATTTTGGTCCTTTCTTCCTTTCCTGTCTTTTTAATGACCATTTGCTTTCTTCATGTGTGATGATCTTTATGTCATCCCACAACTTATCTGGTATTTGTTCACTAGTGTTCAGTGTGTCAAATCTATTTTTCAAATGGTCTCTAAATTCAGGTGGGATATAATCATGGTTGTATTTTGGCTCAGGTGAACTGGTTTTAATTTTCTTTAGCTTTAATTTTGCGGTGTAGTAAATTACTTGGTGTGACTTTTCTACCCATAAGTCTTTGTAAACTCCGAGGTGGAATTTGCCATGAGCAACTGAGGAGCTCCTGATTGCTAAAGTTGTCCACGTGGGGTATTTCTGTTGTGTGCAACACAAAGCAATGTTCTGGGAGGTTCCCACTCTCTCTCAGGTGGTTAGAATTCTGATGTTATGATTGGTTGGTTTGGCCACACTGCCGGGCTCAAAATGAGGCCTCCAAGAGGCAGAAGTCTCTCTCTGACTGCTGGTTGAGGAAGACGTGCTGGTAAAAGAGACAGGCACTCCTGAGAGGCATGTGCTGCTGGGAAAGAGATGCAAGAGACACACATTGCTGAGTGATACACTGAGGGACATGCACTGCTGGGAGAGAGACTGTGACAGACTTGGCTGAGAGATGGTGGGCTGGGAGAGAGACTGAGCTTTTTTCCTGAACTTGAATTGTAGCCTGGTGCGTCCCTAATAAACCTTATAATCTGTGAGTTCTATGTGGCCACTGCAGTGAATTATTGAACCCAGGAGAGAGGGGGGTGGGTGCTTTGGGAGGAACAGTTGGTGAAAGGGCTGGAGGCAGGCACATGTCTGGCCTCACAGTAATGGGCCTTGGGCTACTGATAGTGATTCTGTCTTCCTCTTGTGGGGTTAGAGGAGGTCAGGAGATGTGGCCTTCTTGCCCTTTTTGCAAATTTGAACTTGCATGTGAGCAGTTGATGGTCTGTTCCATAGTCAGCTCCTGGCCTTGTTTTGATCGATGATATCAAGCTTTTCCATTGCTTCTTTCCACAGACATTGTCTATCTAATTCCTGTGTATTCCACCTGGTGAGGCCCATGTGTATAGCTGCTGTTTATGTTGTGGAAAAAAGGTGTTTATAATGGACAAGTCGTTGGTCTTGCAAAATTCTGTCATGTGGTCTCTGACATCATTTCTATCACCACAACCATATTTTCCAGCTACTGATGATTCTTCTTTGTTTCCAACTTTCACATTCCAATCACCAGTAATAATCAATACATCTTGATTGCATGTTTGGGCAATTTCAGACTAGAGAAGTTGGTAAAAATCTTCTGTTTCTTCATCCTTGGCTTTAGTGATTGGTTCATAAAATAATGGTGTGTAAAGTTCATAATGGAAGTAAGGAAATGCCGGTTTTGCTTTCACAGTATACACTGAGTGAGGAATGCAACTATACTGCAGAGGGAAAGGAGGTTGCACTTTGCCTAGTGGGGTACTCTACTAAGAATGGCTCACCATTTCACAGAAGTCACCCCTCCTGCATAGTTGTTCCTATTGCCCACATAGCACACTCTATTAGTCTGCACTGCTAACTACCTTATTTATAGAAATTTGGCATATATGTGTAAGCACCTATTTAACCATTAGTTTTTTTCATACAGTTGTACTGAACATTTACATATTTAAATGTTATTTTATTATAATTTAATTTTAATTGTTTTCTTATAATTAGGGCATTATATTGATTTTATTTTCTAATTCTATGGGTGTGTTCAGTAAATTATCATTGGATGTCCCTTCAGAACAGGAAAAGATGTTACAAAGCTTTCATAATATGAAAAGGGAGCTGTTCTTATGGGGCTCTGCCCTCTTGCCTTTGGCAGATACACACACACACACTAACACACGAGTGAAACCAGGAAGCTGAGCAGGAAATGTGGTCAGTCATGGTGAGTCACCTAGAGATGGTGACAATTGAACTGGGTCTTGACAGAGAGGAACACGAATGTATGGGAAGAGAAGCAGTTCTGGGCAGTGAAACAGCAGTTATACCACAGGACAGGCAGAGAAGTGTGTGGGGAGCAGAGGTAGCTGGTGGGGGAAGGTAAGGCCACATAGTTGGACAGGTTGTCAAGGTCTAACCACAGAAGGATTTGTGAGAGAGAAAGAGAAAGAGAAAGACTTTGTGAGGTCTATCTTGACCAGCACCTCTATGGGGTGGGTTTTGTGAGAGATTTGAGCTCCTACCCAGGCATCTTTCTTTGCACTTGCTTCTTCCCCATGGGGAGGTAGTATCTCTGGAGCTGCCCTCGAGTCTCTTGCTTGCTGGTTACACGATCTTGGCCCAGAGATGTGGTGATCCACCCCCTAGGGTCTCTGCTCCAGGGACATAGGCCAAACTTTTTCCCATCTCTGGGTCTGCTCTCTCTACTGGGCCCTTGCCCAGATGCCCAGGGTGATTCAAGTGTCTACCATGGGGAGCGGAGGACTTAGGTTCTTCAGTAGGTGTATTCTAAGGCTCCCAGATCCCTCCCTATTGGACAACCTAGTAATCAGGATTCAGGATGTAGGAACCTGAACTGAATCCTGGGTCTTTCTATAAGCAGGTTAGGGAGGCTTATAATAAAAAATCAAGTCACTGAAATCAGTTACCTTATAGCTAAACTACTAGGATAAAGGCAAAACAATTAATAAGACAATCAATAATTCTAAAGTTACCAGTATTACTTGGATAACATTAAATACTTCCACATAGTACATTAGGCCAGCATTCTATCTAGATGGAACTTCCAGACGCTTCCACAATTTATACTGCTTCTGCAGATTATAAGGAGTGAAGGAATTTCCTTTGATTGTCAGAATTCCTTGTTGAGATGGCAAGCACTGATCTACGGGTGGATAGATAGGTGGGCAGGCTGAATGATCAGGTATGTCTAGGCAGGGGGTAGTATAGGGTTAGCAGACAATGTTTCTACATGTATATTTGCATGTGCTGTAAGAATGTCCAGGTGTATAGCAGAGCTGACAAGGGGAAAGGTTGTGGTGGCTTCTTAGCCATAGCCAGCTACCCGGAGAGAGCAAGTAGTTGGACTTGTGGGCTAAGGACCATGGTAACAGGGGTCATCAAGCTCAACTGGCATAATATGCTACACAAAAACATTGTTTTACATCCTACTTTGGTGAGTAGCGACTGGGATCTTAAAAGCTTGCAAGTGGCCATCTAGATGCAATGATGGGTCTCTCTTCATCCAGAGCAAAGAATAATGAAGAAAACCAAAGATGCATGGAAACAGTTAGACCAAGGGACTGGTAGACCATGTAAGCCTCAGCCTATATGCCCATGAGACCAGAAGAACTAGATGGTGCCTGGCTACCACTGTCAGCCACTCTGAGGGGGATCTGTGCGGGAGATTCTGGATAGAGTGGGAGAACAATGTGGAATAAAACTCAAGATCATAAAAAAAGAGACAAGGTTTGCTGGTCTGATAGAGTCTGGTAAGATCCCTGAGACTATGGACCTTAGTTACTAGTTACTCTTCAGGTCTAGAATTAAACTCACTCCTGTGGCTTCCAGCCAAAAATAGAAAGGCATATGGGGTGAACATTTACATCAGGTAGACACACTCCTTAGAGTGATTAATCATGGGAGAACAAAAAGGCAGTGTTTGCCTGGGAAGACAACTTGGGGTGCAGGAGAGCATGGAAGAGAAGGACACAGGGAAGAGGTAACTATGGGGAGGAAGTGGGAAGAAAGCTGTTACCTTCTGGGGAATTGCAGTCAATGTCCTTAGGCAAAATGTGTATGAACTGCTGTATGAAAAACGAATTTGCTCTGTAAACTTTCACCCAAATCACAATAAAAACTAAAGCAAAACAAAACAAAACAAAACAAAAACCCCAAAAGCCAAAAAGCAAAAACTCCTTGTTGAAGGAAGAATGCAGCATTCAAAAGCTGAGACAAAAAGCTGATTTTATTACTAGCCTGAGCACTGGAGAGCAATTGCATGTAAGATATAATCTCTGAGGAAAGCTCGAGGTGATCTCATGTAGGTTTGTGGGAAGCACTGCGTGCAGGAATTGGAGGACTTCTAGAGTGGGGGATGTTTAGGGATGGCATTACTTTTCATTGTGAAAATAGTTGCTGATGAATGTATGTTGCTGATTATCTGATTTTCTGAAGTGTGGTCACTGAAGGGAAGTGTCACTGTCAGAGTATACAGTTTGAAAACAGGTTCTGGTAGTTACTTGTTCCTGTGGCTATAGAACAATCAGTCTTTTCTAAGGAGCGTGGGAACTTTTTAATTCTCACCCTTCACAACCTTTGGCTAAAGTGTCACCTGCCAATCATAGGTTTCTTGGTGAAGGTCTTCTCTGCTCAGGCCATGTGGCCTTCGAGGGGAGGAGGAGGAGGAGGAGAGAAGACTCCCAAATAGGATGTGTTTCTCCTAAGTAGTGCCAGCTGGCTCCAGGGGTCACTAGGTCCTCCTGGGAGGAGCACTGTCCACTGATGCCTAAGAGGAGGATGGAACCACAAAGAAAATTTTTTTCCTCACCCTGGACTTGTGCTCTGGGCTAGAGTCCTAACCTACCATAATTCTCTTACCTCCCATTGTCAGCTTCAGAAAAGGATGAGGCCTGGGCATGGTCTAGGTGGGGATGAAGTGAGAGGAGAATATGAAGGATTGTCTGGGTCCACAGATGGGAGGGATGCTGGGGGTGACTGGGGGTGGAAGAAGAGAGAGGAATGGAAGTGGATGCAGGCTCCAGGCCAGTGACCACACTCCTGGCAATTTCATGCCAAGAAACCTACTTTATGGCAGTAAACCCATGCCCTGGATGCTAAGTGATGTGGTTGGGAGGAAGCTCACACATCAACCCCTCTGTGAAACAGTTTTACAGCTTGCAGACCTCTCAGAATAGCCATTTCCATGTGGAAGAACAAATGTGTAGTCAGTGTGCAAGTTCGCTGGCCTGGCCTGGCTGGAGAGAGGACATCCTCTCTTCCCACCACTGCCCATAGTTCAATCTCTCCACACCTGTATCTGGAGCAAAGAGAACATGGGTGGGGGGGGGCATGAGGATAGGAGGACTCAGAACCTGTGGGCCACCCAACCTGAGTATCCCCAGTGCAGAATGGTCATCCTGTGACTCCAAACCATGACTTCTCCTGGCTGCTCCCATGATGCACCACACCTGTCCCTCACAATGATGGGGAAAGGATGTGGGGGACCAGAGGTGAGATGAGAGGAAGGAAGGTGGAGGAGCTGTTTCTGGCTCTGCAGTGTAAATTACATAGTGTGGCTTTTCTAGCTATAAGTCTTTATAAACTCCATGGTAGAATTTGCTGTGAGCAACTGAGTAGCTCTTGATTGTTAAAGTTTTCCACCTGGGGTATTTCTATTGGGAGCAGCATGAAGTAATTTTCTGGGCAGTTCACTCTCTCAGGTGTGTAGAACTCTGATGTTGGGATTTGTTGGTTTGGGCCACTCTGCCAGGCTCAAAAGGGACCCTCCTAGTGGCAGAAGGAGTCTCTTTGACTGCTGGCTGAGAAAGACGTGCTGCTGAGAGACATATTCTCCTGAGAGACATGCAGTTGCTGAGAGAGAGACATGTTTTTGCTGAGAAAGATATGAGAAGCATGCACTTGCCGAGAGAGAGAGAGAGAGAGAGAGAGAGAGAGACATGCTGCTGAGAAAGAATATGCCAGCTGCTAAGTGAGATGGCCAGCTGTGAGAGACTGATGCCTTTCTGAACTTGAATTGTGACCTGTTGCTTCCCTAATAAACACCATAATCTGTGAGTTCTGTGTGGCCACTGCAGTGAATTATCGAACCCAGCAGAGAGGTGGTAGGTACTGTGGGAGGAACGGTTGGGGCCAAGGTTGGTGAAAGGGGTAGAGAGAGAGGCACTTGCAGGAATAGGCATTGGGCTGCTGATGGTGATTCTGTCTTCCTCTTGTGGGGTTAGAGGAGGTCAGAATATGCAGTCTTCTTGCCCCTTTGGCAGGCTCCTACTGGGGTGACACAGGGCATGCACATAGTCAGGACGTCCTGACTATGGTATGGACCATCTGAGGTAGGAGGTCATTCCCTTTACAGCAGAGCCCTTCACTTCCCTCCTTAAATAAGTCTATCTTCTCAAAACTCCCCAGTGCAGGAGCAAGGTGAGTATGATGAGGAGGATGAGTGTTGCAAAGCCATCCAGCCTCTGAACAATAAAGTCATCCTGAGGAGGCTCTTCTGCAGGGCAGAAGGAACAGGCTAGTGATTACATCCTTAGAACTAAGTCCCAATCCCCAGAAACCCTTTGAGGCCTCTCTTGGGTAGGATCTATACATGGGACCAGGCTTGTGGAACACCCTGGAGTCCTAGAGAAAGGGAGACCTGTCACAGCTAACCTTGTGGAGACTTGTCCAACCAGACCAGGAAAGTGTCCCTTCTGATCACACCCTGGGCCCTCCAGGGAACACCCTTATGTGACAAAGCTGAGGGTCCACCCTCTGCCCCCATCAGCTTCTTACTCCATGCCAAATACAGGTGAGTATTTGGTTCAGCCCCTGGTGTTCCACACGGCAGGTGTATCTTGACTCTTGTCCAGGGGGCACTTCCACAGCCACCCGCTTCTGGAAGGTGCCATCTCCCAGAGGCCAAGCTTCCAGAGACTCCAATTCTGTGACCAGGGACTCCCTGTCAAAAAGCCAGGTCATTGAGATATTCATGGGGTTGGAGCCATGGGCCCAGTACTTTAGTATTGTGTCTCTTGTGGCATTCTCATGGTGGGTCACCCATGCAGAGGGAGCTGCTGCAGTGGGATAGAGATGGGTTACAGGTGGAGCAAGAGGTGCTGTGACTTTCTGCCAGAGAGTCTTCCCACCCTACGCTGTGGACCAGGGAGAACATGGGTTGGTGAGTATGGCCATTCACCTACTGTGTTCCCAGCCCTGACTAGGCTTTCGATTCCCTTTGAGGATTCTCTTTGAGGAGGCAGTCTCTGTCTTCCTTCTGGTTCTAGGGTAAACTCCCAGCAAGCCGGGAATAATTATACCCTGGGCTTTCTGCTGTGGAAACAGATCCCTGCCCTCTCGCAGTTCCTGCTTCTTTACCCTGTGGGATGTGAAACCAAAACACCTGGGCTCTCACCCTCACTGGCTCTGTCACTAGCCCTCTGAGGAGGCTCAGCCTCCTCTCTGTGAGGTGGGAGCCCTCCACTTTCAGGTCTCCTCACCTGGATAGACTCAGTGCATGCTCTGAGAGATGGGTGAGGACATTTTGTCATATTTACAAACCTTTACAGCTGTGAGGTCTCCACTGCTGGCTAAACGACTTGTCTACATATTTGATTTTTGAAGTCTTAGAAACTCACTGACTTCAGCTGTAAACTGTAATCCACTGAATGTTTAGCAAATGTTTAGAAAATGTTTTTGGGGAAAAAGAAAAGAAAAGGAAGGGAAGACTGATGTGTTGAGGTGACATATGAGAGAGTCAGGCACAGTGCAGGGCACACAGCAGGTGCCCAATAATGTTTAGAAGCCTGAGAACAACACCCAAGTTAAAGTTGTCCTCCACCACCTGCCTCCAGCAATAGGAGGAGAGACCCTGAGACTCACAGAGGAGACAGCTTGAAGAAGGCAGCTTCTGGAAGCTCGGGGAGATTGGCAAAATGCCCAACATTGCTGTCAGTTCAAAGAGGCAAGTGGAGGAGGTGCTTTGTATTCAGAAACATCTAGTCCATAGTGGGAAGGGGTGCATCTGCATCTCAGGCGAGGCTTGGGTGATCCTCTCAGCCAGCTCCGCAGTCTACGGGTCTGATCACCCAGAGCCCTGTGCTCACCAAGTCCTAACTTAGTTCCTAACTTAGAATGACACGCAAAAAAGACCCCCACCCCCACCGCAACATGCACACGCATACACACACCCTCACAAGCATACACAATTGAGAGGGAGATACCTGTGCCAGTTCCCAGCCAGTCCTCCTCCAGAGCACCTGAGAGATCCCCTGTGTCTTTGTACACCCACGCACAATACTAAGGGTATTACTTTACCTGTGAGCCGTGGTCCACAGCTGACTGAACACTTTCCCTATTTCAGTTAGTTTTTATAACATTATGGAGGTGCCCAGGATTTATGTCTGTTTTCCACATGAAAAGATGGAGGTGCAGACAGGGGTCACTAGATCTAGAATGAAGACTTAAGTGCTCAGAACCCACCCCCTCTGTTCTGTAGCTGACGCTATGGATACCCCATAATTTCCCATCTAATGAACCTAGTTCTTCCATACTTTCAGCCCTTCCTACAGGTGGAGTGTGCACTCTAATGACTCCACCCATGAAAGAGTGAGCCCTCCAAGTGAGCAATGGGACATTCTCAGCCTTGTGTCTCCAGAATCAGGTAGAGAGATGCTCAGATATTTGGTGAATGGAGTGTTAATATCACGGACACATAGTCTCTAATTCAGTGATGAGAGCAGCTCTGCAGGGCACTGCTTAATCCCTGATAGTCCCAAACTCCATGGTGCTGCCTGGTGCAACCTGAGGATGTGTCTGAGCTGCTGGCAGGTGCCTGTCTGACCAATGTGCTTGCTTCCATACTCCATGAACCTCTTCAGGAAGTAAGTGCACTCATGCTCCAGCTCAAACGTCCTTTGCTTTTCAATGACCACCTCTGCCTCCCAGGAGTGCTTAGTGATGATGGCAATGTGATGTGCGGCCGTCCAGGTGTTGGTCTCTAAGGCATAGGTGATGTAGTTGACTCTGTCATAGGCACACTGGCGAAGCCCTCTGATGCTGCCATCTGCATGGATCTCACACCCAGCAGTGAGCTGTAGAATGTGGACCCCTGGAAGGCCCCAGCCTCATCAGGGACCTTGAGGGCAGGGAGGTAGGGCAGGGTGACTTGTGTGGGTGCCACATAGGCCTCATCTCACAGTTGGTTTTCTGCTCAGATCTGAGGTCCTTTTAAAAACATGCAGTTTATGTCTATGCATTTCAATAACACTGAACATAGTTACCTTTTTCCACCTCAATGTTGGGAGGTCTCTGAGTTTGTCTGTCTTATAGTTCCCCTGCCATACCTCAGGTAGATTCCAGGGGCACCTGTAGACAAAATGCCCCCTTTCAGGGCTGATCCCCCAGCCCATCCCTACCCAGGGTACTGCGATTGGCCACCCAAGCAGTAGCTGACTCACTTTCCCTGAGCTGATGGACAGTGTTGGGATGGAGGGTGAGGCGAGAGGCTCTGAGGGTTCAGGCCTGAGGCCACTTCCTCAGTTACTCACCCTGGCTCTCATTAAGGTAGCCCCTCACAATGTGCAGGCAGCCTTGGAGCCAGTGCTGCTACCCCACACGCAGGTCCACTTCTGCTCCCAGAAGGCCTCTCCTTCCCCGGCTGGGACTCACTGCATCAGGGGCTCCACTCTCTGCTCTTCACTGTTACATTGGGCAGTGACTTGGTCATCCCGGTGCATGAAGACTATGTACTCTGGCAGGCTGGACCAAGCTTCTGACATCCAAGTGTGCAAAAACAGCAGAGCATGGGACTCTGGGAAGGGCAGAGTCAAAGTCATGAGTGGCCTGAGTTGTTCTGACCTCACTAGTCTTAGGACCTTTGTATGATCCCCAGTTTAGAGATGAGGACAAAGAGGCTCAGAGAAGTTACAACCCTGCCCATGTAACGGAACTGGTAAATGATGGGACTAGATTTAACCCCAGAGCATGTGTAGAGCACACAGAGGGCCCCTGAGGAACAGGGCCATCAGACCCCTGCCCTAAGAGGATTCAGAGACTTGGGATCCAGCCCTGGTCTGCCCAAGCAAACTGTGTAACATGGATGCTCATCTCTAAAATGGGGTGCTACAGCCCTCTTTGCTTTGCAGGGCAGGTGTGTGGGCATCCACCATGAGGGAACAGCCAGTGATGTGGATGCAGGGCTGACCAGGGTTAGAAAAGGGAGATATGTTCTGGCAGCAGAGCTGGTTCTGGGGTTTCCTAGGAACTGTGGGTCCTAGAGCAGTTACACTGGGCTCCATGTTTTCTGTATCTTATTGTACCTGTTGTTGTTGTTATGTGCCATCAAGTTGGACCTGACTCATAGCAACCCCTCCTTGGGTTTCTGAGGCAGTATCACTACGGAAGTAGATTGCCCCATCTTCCTTCCGTTATTGTACCTAACATCAGGTAAAACTGAAGGAGGCAGGAGGGGAACAGAAACCACATAGGGAGGGTTTGGAGGAGGGAAAGGAAGAAGAGGACAGGGGCCTGCCCAGATTTGAGATAGCGCCTCTCTGTTTTTTTTTCCTGATTTCTGCCTGCACCCTTCCCCCCTTTGCTTTGTACACACACACATGGGCAGTACCATAGACCCTCTGGGTGTGAGGGAATAGAGGTGTCCCTGTAACCTACCTGAAGTGAGCACAATTCCTGGGAGGAGGAGGGGGGTCAGGAAACCTCAAAGAAAAGTGAGGCTTCTCTGGGAGTGGCACTTTTGGGACAGATCCATCATCACTGGGAAAGAGCTTTTTCTAGACAGAGATGTCCTGGAGACCTAGGTACAGGTGAAGGTGAGAGCAGTGAGAATTTGAAGAAAGTCCTGGATGGAGTGAGAATAGGCTACACCCTCCTTCTGCTAGGCTTTCCTTTATACTTTAAGGAGATTCCTTCTAAACTAATAGCTCCATTGTGTCTTCACAGGGACTGCCTAAATGAGGTAAAAGCAGGAAAAGCAGAACCCTACTTGGTACCCGGTAAGAGTCTGCTTCTTGCCTTTCTCTCCTTCTGGATTGTAAGGACCATGGAGACAGCAGCTGGGCCCATCATGTGCTCCCTAAACAGTGGTGGAAGGAATATGGGAAATGTATGGGTACGTGCTTACTGAATTGTGAAGTATTGCATATACAGATAAACCCAAAACCAAACTCACTGCCATCGAGTTGATTCTGACTCATAGCGACCCCCTTTGGGTTTCTGAGATGGTAAATCTTTGTGGAAGTAGATTGCCCAGTCTTCTTTTTGCAGTGTGTGACTGGTAGGATTGAACCTCTAACCTTCTGGTTAGCAGTCAAATGCCTTAGGCACTACGCCACCAAAGCTCCTCACATATACAGATATAGGGTGTATTTAACCACTGTCTAGTTCAGAAGTTGTTCTTCACAGATAGAGTGGGTGACATGGAATGTACCATGATTGTAATCGTAACTGAAAGAGTGGTGACCTGAGAGGGCAGTTGTAACTGCAGTGACTATTTGACTATGTTACCACATTATTTATAGAAATTAATTTAGATGCTATGGAAAGATATAAGACTGAGGATTCTTCCCAGAGAGCTGGGTAGACCCCATGCAGACCCTATTCTCTAGGAACATCACACAAGTCCTGCTGTGGTGTTAATGGACAAGAAACTGGGTCATCAGTGCAAATAGCGGCCACCCTCCTCCTCAGCCCTGTGTTGAAGCCAGCTGTATGCAGGAACCTGAGAGGCTGAGGGGCAAGTTCAAGGCTGCTGCTGGTAGTGGTGTTGGTGATAGTCCTAGGTGGGGCCTTACAGACGACAGGTCCTTGAGAGGGTTAACTGCATCCTTAAGGAAGCAGGAAAATGATTTGGAGGAAAAATGATACTAAGTTGTTACAACTTGAAATTGAAGTCAGTTGTGCATTTTCCCTAAGCTTGCCTTCTTAAAAAGCACATTTGTTTGTTAAAAGCATTTTGTATTTAGAAACATTTCAAGCATATATTAAAGTAGGAAGAATAATATAATGACCCCCCCTTACCCTTACCATCCATATTACATAATTACCACATTTGCGTCATCTATATCTGCCCATTTCTTTCTGAAATCCCAAAGCAAATCTCAGACATGTTTTTTTTTTTCCTCACTTCTACACATCTCAGGAAGCAGTTTTTAGAATACATGGATGTTTTTAAAAATAGAACTTAATAACCCTGTTACACTAACAAAATTGACAGTAATCCTTGATATTGCTTAACTGCCAGTGCATAATTAAATTTCTATGATCGACTCAACCTTTAGGAGCTTGTTTTTGGAATCGAATGCTAATAAGGCCCACGTATTTCCACATCTGTCCTTTTCCCTGTTGCTGGGGATTATGGCTCAGTAGTCCTGGGAATGTGATGCTCTCAAGGTATAGCTGTTTGCTTTCCTGGAGGGACATTAACTTCACTTCTCCATTTCAGTATTTCCTTCGCATGGAAATAACCTCTAGGGTGCACCTTTGCTTTTTAATAATTGTTTTAACTGAAGGAGACTGCAATTGCTTGTTACTCAGATACTGATATAACACCAGGGGCAGCATTCTTGTCCCTGGAAGAGCTGAGGTTAGAATGTGGAATGTTTCATTCATCTGCAGAAAGGAGAAATAGATTCAGATGAGAAGAGCTCCTGGGTTCTGTGGATTTAGGGGACTGAGGAATTCTTTGAAATTGTCAAGAGTTGAAAAAACATTGTTCTACATCCTACTTTGGTGAGTAGTGACTGGGGTCTTAAAAGCTTGCAAGTGGCCATCTAGTCACAAGGATGGGTCTCTCTTTGTTCATAGCAAACAAGAATGAAGAAAACCAAAGACACATGGAAACAGTCAGTCCAAGAGACTAGTAGACCATGTGTTCCTCAGCCCATATGAACATGAGACCAGAAGAACTAGATGGTGCTTGGTACCACTGTCAACTACTTGGAAGGGAATTGGTGCAAGAGATCCTAGATAGAGTGGGAGAACAATGTGGAACAAAACTCTAAATCATAAAAACAGACCAGATTTGCTGGTCTGTTAAAGCCTGGTGAGACCCCTGAGACTATGGCCCCTAGTTACCCTTCAGGTCTGGAATTGAACTCACTCCTGTGGCTTCCAGCCAAACAATAGACAGGCATATGGGGTAACATTTACATCAGGTAGATATACTTCTTGGAGAGATCAATCATGGGAGAACAGAAGGGCAGTGTTTGCACAGGGAGATAGCTGGGGTGGGGGTGAGAGTTCATGGGAGGGAAGAACATAGGGAAGAGATAACTACAGGGAGGAAGTGGGAAGAGAGCTAATATGTTGTAGGGAATTGTAGTCAATGTCACGAAACAAAATGTATGAACTGCTGTATAAAAAATGAATTTGGTCTGTAAATTTTCACTCAAATCATAGTAGAATTTTTTTTTTTTTAAGAAGAATTGAATGTATGCTTTTATGTATGGGGTCAGTGGAGGATATTGCTAAAAGATTTAATAAAATTCTCAAAGTGTCTTTGACTAAGAAAAGGTAAGTGACAACTAGCTTAGAAGAGCTCTCTCCCAAATCCTTCCAAGTGGAACAATTCTGGGATCCCCTTGATAAAAAGGAAGATGGAAACAGGTGGGAGAAGGAGGCCAGCAGGGACAGAAAGACAGACTCAGAGAAGAGAAGAAGTTAGGGGGTACCAGGACCAAACACCCTTCAGAACAGGCAAAGGTAAAAAATGACCACTACGCTCAAGCTCTGTGGACCCTGCCTCTGTCTTAGGTCAAGTATAATGTGAATCTAGAGACAGCTTGGGTAAAAATCAACTCTGGAACCAAGGTCTGGGTGTGATACTTCAGGATTGGTCAGTTGGAAACACACTGTCCAATGAAAGCCAAAGATTTTCTTGCATCATCGGTTACCAGGCACATACCAGTCATTACAGAATTGCGATAATGAACAAACACATCTAATAGTTTAGGAAAAAAAGAGTGTAACTTAAGTTTGTATATTTTCTCACTTATTCACTCATTTGACTAGATGACAGTTAGCCTTCCAGTAAATGCGCAAGAGATGAACTACTGTTTACTTTGAGCTATTACACATTTTGTGTTTGTTACAGCAACCTGACTACCCTAACTCTGATAGAATTTAGCTCTTCCTCTCTCACAGTCACTTGTTTCTGAAGTATTTATTTTTATCTCCTCTGTGTGAAAAAAATATCTATAGATGTTGGAAAGGGAAAGGGAACGAAGAAGGTAGGAGAATTAAGAGCTCAATTAGAACATTGAAATGGAGCCCTTGGGGGGACCTGGAGACTGCATCTCCTTTCTCCAGAGATGGAACCTCTCGTGGTCTCTAGGAGGAAGCCAAGAAAGAACCAGAATGTCTAGAGGGGGTGTTTTACAGACTGGCAGGTGTGTGTGTGTGTGTGTGTGTGTGCACAGGTAGACACTTGGAAGACCAACTTCCTTGAGATGGAGGAATCGTCTCACTCTGGGCATATAAAAATATTTTGACCTCAGTATTGGAAATACCTGGAACTCTGATGGTGAAAAGGCTAAGGCATGTGACTGCTAACCAGAGGGCTTGCTGTTCAGACCCACCAGCCACTCCTTGGAAGGAAGGTTGGACAATCTACTTCCATAGTGACACCTCCTCAGAAACCCAAGGAAGGGTCACTATGAATCAGATTAGACTCCATGGCAGTGGGTTTTCTTTTCAACTGGAAATACCAGA